TTTAATATGGTACATAATAAGCAACTTATGAGAAATATGAATTAAAATTTTCAAGTTTTTTGACCGAGTGAAAAATTATTTATCGATTATAATAATTGAAAAAAAAAACAAAAATATTAAATGCCTTTATACTACAGCTGAAAAAGAGATATTTTATCATAATATCATGCGTATGGAAAATTGTCTTTTAAACATTTTGTGAACATTTTAAGTACCTATTTACGGATATTCATATTTGAGTTACTAATATTACTACAAAAAGACAAAAAAGATTTGATCAAAAACTGGTTTTGGGTAAAAAATTCACATTTTTTCTTAATTTTGTTTTTCCTAACATTTTTGATACTATCGAGAAATTTTTTCTTCCAAATTACCAACTAAATTCACTTTCCTAAAATAAAGATGCTGATAAATTTTTTCTACCCAATGGTGATGAACAGAAAAATAACACACTTATTCATTGTAAAATCAATACATTCAATTCCCACTCAGAACGGAAAATTTGAAAAAAATTTAATTTTTTCCTAAATTTTGTTTTGCAATGACAACATATTATGTAAAAAAGTTTGGACTTTGAAATAATGGGGCCTGGAAACTTAAATAGATTATCTTAGAGGTTACATATAAACACACAGTTGCAGTAATACTGTGTATGGAAAGAACCGTTCACCGTCATGGTTCGTACGAATCGTATACATTTTGATGATCTAATCTATCTAACTTAATTTTGTTAAATACTATAGTATATATACTTTATACGTTATAATAAAAAATGTATTTTGTGTAACCAGTGGAAACCATCATATATATATTTAAAAAAATTTCTATTTATATCGTGAATCACAAAATCCTTGTGTACCTATTTAAAATGAGAACTTTGGAATGTCCTTTCTTAAGTAGGTACTGATGTACTGTATTAGATAATTGCAAAATGTCAAGTCCCTATAGCTATCGTATAATTTAGGGTGTTTATAGGCTCATCGTTGAACAGAACACGTTCGATTATATACAGCCATATAGGTATACACAATAATTGTGTTTATAAGTTATAAGATTGTATTAACTATTAACACACTTGAATAGACATGTTAATACTCGTCCCAAAATATCTCGAAATTCTTTGAGTGGAAAATTGAAAAATAAAACTATTAATTATTGTAGCTATATACAATATACATAGCTTTCATTATTATATAATACATTGTGTTCTTGTTTTTATCATAACTTATTACGTCATAGTAAATACTAACTATTGTGTATGAAAAATAAATAAACAAATAATTAACCAATTTGTTAATATACATAAATCGGAGTCGGATTGAATCTGTCATCGTTTAAAAATAAAGAATACAAATATCGTTATACAATAAGATTATATAATATTATTATTATTTAATACCATGTGAAAACATATTATGCAATGTAGTTAAATATTTAGAGGGCAAATATTCCACAGAACTGAAAATTGTGTATTGCAAACGACCCTTGACAATATTATATGCATAGGTAGTTAGGTTTAGTAATCAATAGGTTAGTTTAAAAAAGTTAGGGTTATAACCGATTTAGTAATAATAATTAATAGTTAGTAGTTAGTTATAAGTTAGTCCATAGCAGGGGTGTCCAACTTTTTGTGAAGACTGGGCCACATCATATAGGTAGAAGTAGTTGTGGGCCACATACTTTTTTTTAATAATAATACATTCAAATTTAATGATTAAATTATATTCTATAAATCTATAATACAACAGTACATTTTTTTATAATTTTACAATAACGAATAATAAGCAGAAATATTTTTACAAGTATTAATATTTAATTATTAGTACACAAAAAAATACATTTATTTAAAATAAAAAAAAAGTTTTAGTTTAAAAAAGTTAAAAGTCATTAGTTTAATTTAATGTGAAATTTGAAATTGCTTTTTTTATGAAAGTAATGAATCAATATCTGGATCGATTGAAGTCGTGGCAATCCTTAAGCAACGGTAAAAACACGGACGTGTGCCCTTACAGTTTATTTGATGTTAAAAAGCAAATAATGAAATAACCTAGCCTACTCATGTATATGGATATTTTTGTTCTATAATCAATATTTTATTTTTTATTTTTTAAATATTATCATTTACAGACGCTTGAGTCACATGTATAGTAAGACATTTATTTTATTATTTTTTTATACTGAGAATAAAAATATTTAAATCTGATATTCATTTTTTTTTTTGAAAGATTCTATAGCCAATTTGTAAATCTGGTTTTTAGAAAAATTTTGATTTTAAAAACATTTATTGAAGTCATGAAGTTCACATTTTTTTTTTAAATCTCATCATTTTTGTTGAATATTTTATTAGAATTTTTAAACAGGAAGGGGCTACTTTTAAAATGCAAATATTATTTTGAAAAATTATTACTTTTTAAATTCAGAAGCACGTTTGGGCAACAAAATTCGGCCGTAAAAACATGCTTTTCTTAGACCTCGATAGTCGTAGAAATATAATTTTTTCACTAAACTGAAAGTGAGAAGTTAACCTAACCATAACAAATAAACCACTTGACTTACATAAATGTTTTTATACTCAAAAGTTTTCTAAAAACTAGATCGGCAAATTTTATATTTTAAATTTTAGTCAGATTTTAAATATTTTATTTGCAGTATTAATAAATAAAAATAAAAAATGTTATATTATACGTTGTGCAATCGTAGCATGGCTCAATAAACTATAATACATAAAAAAAATATTTAAAAATATTCATTAGAACAAAAGTTATTTAATTTGGCAGGTGTTTTTGTTACACCCTGTATTATGCAGTCGCAGTGGTCAAACTATAACTGGCCTACGCCCATCGTTCATACATTATTATAATATGGGGGACTCATTATATTTTTAAACAAAAGCAATAAGAAGTGAGATTACTTATTTTTAAACTTATCAAACAAATCCACTTAATGTCACATTGCGGGTGTTGATGTTGTGTTCACAATAATTTCCATACTCAATTGTAAATATTATGTGTATACCCAATGTACCCTGTGTACAGGGTATATTTTGTTTTATACCGTGAACCGGGCACTGGGAAGTATCACCAGTACGCGTGTGTAAAAATTATAATATTTTTGATATCTTTCTTAGTTTGTTAAAAACAAAAAACATTCTTTAAAATTCTTTTACATTGAGGACGTGCTATTTTATTTTTTTATACCTCAGTTTAAAATATATATTAGTTTGAGCCTTTGAATTAAAAAATCAACTAAGTCGTATATACAATACAGCGTGTGGCGTGTCTTACTCTCATTGGAATGTATTATTCCTACATAGTTTATAGGAAATCATCTATTTTCCATATTTTTAAAACACTTGAACCATGGATTTCATGATCTGCCTGTAACGTCAGTCGTCACTACTTGTCGTTAATCGATCGTTATTCGTCTAGATGTATCACACTTGGATACTGTCACATATTTTATATTTATGCAATAAATACTATTATGAAGATTTTTAAGGTACAATTTAAAAATTCAAATCAAACATAATTTCTTAAAGAAAATTTTTAAAAAAATAGACCAGCACATTAATAATTAATAATTATGAATCAGTAGGTAATTACTAATCAGTAAATGCCATCTATACAAACTCGTTATCAACATTTAGATAATATTGAGATAACATGAATATATTATTTGAATTTATTTCATCTTTATGAAATACAATTTTTGTTATTCATTATCATATAAGCTTGTACAATCAAAAATATTTGGGTTACCTATATACATAGACCTATTAACTTGATTACATGTCTATTATGCCTGTATAATTATTAATTAGTGTTATGTCTTATACTCTTATGTAGATACTTATTATATGGATGTATGCTTGCATGGCCACGGACCGCGGCATGGGTACCCTACTACTTTAATAACTATAAGTTATAATCTTCAAAAAAGTGATCATTATTTATAGGTATAAAACACACTCTCCTTAGTTTTTAACAATTTAAATAAAAAAATTGGTTGTACAAACTAATAATAAATTGTTGGATTATAATATATTATACAGTTACTTGAAAAAAAAAAGAAAACCACATGATGTTACTTCAAGTAACTTACTTGGTTATACAAATTACTTAATTATTTAGTTATATGTCTTGAATTACTTAGCCTAATACCTTAAAAAGTCCCCCAAACTAATAAACGCGTCTCAAAAACGTTCTATACACCTATCTACTTATATCGACAAAATTACATTATTATATTTAATAATCTATATTCTCGCCGATTAACAGAATGTTAATTTCAGGTTAAAAGTAAAACCATTGATTCAATTATAATGGTACCTATTAAATGTTTAAGATTTAGATAAGAACGTGTTGTTGTGTGTGTTATGTTTTGTTTGTACTATATTGTTGAAAAATAACTGCTCTGAGCCCAAAATGTTTGGCTCGAAAAATACTCATTAATAAATAAATTAAATATAAATAAATAAAT